CTTAATTAGCTTATCAGATAGATTATCTACACAAATCAAGAATAGTATAGAGATAGAGGTGATGTCTCACTTTAGACGGTTAATTAGGTCAAAGAAGTCCTTTGTTTTTAGCAGAGTCTCTAAATATTTAGTTTTCAATAATCTAATTGTTATGAGAGCCGACAAGGGTGGAACAGTGGTAGTCAGGATAGGAAAAGTTATCTGGAGAAAATGCTTGCGCATTGATATATATAAGCCTTCAGTGAAAGATCCTTCATGGGGAATTAAAACTAAGCTAATAGATGCTTTGAAGATATGAGTAAGTAATGGGGAAATGGAGAAGTGAAAAATGAATTCCCTACTTCAAAGAGATGCTAGGGCATCCTTTGTTTATGGCCTTCCAAGGGTGCATAAAGAAGGGTTTCCCCTTAGATTGGTTGTTAACAATAAGAGTAATGCTATGCATAAAATCGCAAGCTTTTTATGCAGACGATTAATACAAGTTACCGAATTTAGGATGTTTTCGGTTAAAAATGCTCATGAGTTTGTTATATCAACAGACCAGCAGATAATTCTAGAAGACATACTAGTAAGTTTTGATGTGGTATCAAGGTATACAAATTTTTCAGTTCAAGGAGCCATTCGGGCTCTAGTGCTTACCCTGGAGGAGCATTCAGAGAATACGAAGGGAATTAAATTTAGTATAGCCTTTATTCTAAGACTACTTAACTCATCTATGATTAGTATAAATTTCAGCTTCCGCAAGAATGAGTCAAAGCTCCAACGATGTTCATCATGTGACTAACATAATTCCAGTCCGTCTTCGCCCGAAAAGTTGGAGGATGTCTCATGGACGGCCTGAAACTGAATGTCATATTAAAGCCAAATGTCTGCACTACAACGCGAATCAGCCTCGGTTTTCTGGTGAGATTGACCTACTAATATATTAATAAGCCATTTCCATTCGAAATACAGGTCTTCACGACAAATGAACCCTAGACACAGATGCGAAATCTGGAGACAAGCAGTAGGGTAGTTTAGGCGTCCAACTGCCCATGTCAAACTGCCTCTCAAAAACCTCAGAGCCACGGGTATGCTGGAGGATGCGCAGCTACTTTTAGCACTCCAAGGAAATGAAGAACTTAAATACAACGTTTTTTTAGGATACAGCACTTATGCACTACTTAAATAGCCATGTCTGTCAGTAGTACTTGCATGGACACTTTAAGAAGAAAATTGATTTAAAATCCAAGGCTCGTATGTGAAAGCCAAAATTGAGGCATCGAACAGAGCCGAAGCTAAGACAGGTTTTTCTGTATCATGCTTTTGGCCCATTTGGAGCAGACCAAGTTGCCTGATCGTATGAAACATGCAAATGGTGCATCTCCTCGAAAAGTGGGCTTAAACCAAGCAAAATTTACTCTTCAACATGCCTACAGCCTTTTATGCAAATTCTTACTAACCCTATGGCCAAGTGAAAGTGAGAAATTGCGCTATGGCAAACCCATCTGAATGAGAATACTTGTTAGGAATCAGAACTATGCGAAATTCAATGTAAACGTAAGGTATATCAATATTATTGCGGGAAAATTGAGCTATCAGTCACCTACTCTCTTAAACCAAATAGGGTCATTTAAGATCTATCGATAGTCTCAAAAACTACCTAGAAACGAAAAAAAAGAACACAAAAAACAAATTGTTTTGGTCAAGCCTATCCCTATGATCCAGCTTAAAATGAAGACATATCTGATCAAATATGTTGTACTAAACCTATTTGCTGGTGTCCTGAGATGACCTTCTATAACTTTTCTGGTAAAGATCAAATGTTAATTAGAGTTCTTGTGCTTCTTTGCAGAGCAGTCTCACACGGTTATGTCTTTGACTTTTAGTGGGACCAGTCGCATCTTTGAACATAATAACACTTTGTGAAGCATCGTCATAAGAGGTGTATGACGCTTTCTGTTGTCATCAGTATAAGAAGTCCTACCAGAATACCACTTGCATACAAGTGGCTTTGACTGCCATACAATATGGATTAAGAGGATTTTAGGGTTAGATAGCGATAAAAGATAGGCCACGACGTTAGTGACCAACTAAAATATCATTGAAATTCTGATTTAAAAGAATCTTATCCGGACGAAAAGAAGGGATCCTCTGAAATATACCGTTTGACCTAAGATGATGTAGAGGACAGCGAAACACTTGACCA